GTAAAGAATCATGAATAAACTAATAAGACACCAAAGATGAAATCTATACATTCTTCCGTTTCAATTTTATATTTCGGGAAAAAACATCTGTCAAACTAATCTTGTTTATTGATCGACATCCAGTTGTTGTGTTCCTATATAAATGTGAATTCGATTTCTTATGTAAAGTTTATGGTATCTTTCAAGTGTTAAGATTTTTTAAATCGTAAATGAAATGATTTATCCAATGAAATATTTCCGATTATTTTCCTTTGTCGAACTTGATTAATATTACACGTACAAAAAAGAAATTCAACGGTAGTAAAATATTAAATATCCAAGGATGGATAAGTTAAGATATGTATGTGGAACATTAAACAATTTCATGAAATAAGCAAAGATGGATAGTGGCTAGCAGTGGAATCCAGAATGCGCGTTTCGCCCTTTTTTGGACTCGTCAGTTGGATGTGCCTGCATCTCAGTGTTGATGTTCACTCTGGGACTCAAACCCAGTACCTCTCGCTTCAAATGCCATCGCATTATAGGACGAAACGCGCGTCCTGTATTCCAGTGCTAGCCGCTATCTATCTTTGCTTATAATGCTTGTGAATTAAGGCTATATTGAAACAATTCGCACAGTATGCACATATGCCAATAAGAGACTAACCAGTTGCAGTCCTAAACATCAATGGGAAGATTCAAACAAACAATATTAGGTGAATTTTATGAAATGTATCTGTTTATAGAAATTCAATATAGTAACAACTTCAATTATGTTCCTTTTTCATCTTGTTGACGCAACTGCTTAACATATTTTACTAGTTTCAGGATAACCAATTTTATGAGAAATTTGTTCATGTCTCGATTGGAACTAAAGTAATACTTGTGCTATAAATGCATTTGATGCATCATGTATATATGTCCATATTAAGTGTTCACCTAAGTAACACTTGAATTCTTTATAAATTCTATTAGGAATTCATTCATATCTACAAATATCTAACGCTGTCTATGGAGTTACGTTGTAAAAAATATAATTATCATTATTTTTGATGCTTTAGTTTGTACATATAGACTGGAAAAGAACAATGAACAAAGTGTTTAACCTGGAGACTACTGAACTTTAAAAGTATTCATTGTAATACATATATATCCATAGTCCGTCCAACAATACTCTTGATACAGTAATTTAATATATGTGTATGTCAATTTTACTAGTCATTTATGAGTCAGATGATATTTAATTCCTGTTCCTGGTAGGTTGCCTATTTCTAGGATGAAAATTTACGTGGTAGTATCTTATTGAAATTTTTTTAACGCTGAACACACTTTAACGCGATAGTATTGTGTTAATAAAGTTACAAATCGTTCTAGGATCAAAAAAAGGTATAGCGAAAATAGCAGTAAGGCTAAATAAAAGGAACCAAAGTGGTTGTAAATAACTTATTTGTTGAATTATTGTATTATTCGATGAAAACTTAAACCATTTGCCTTCTATTATTATAACTTTAAGATTAGGAGTGTGGATAATTCCTTGAAGAACTGAAAATTTGAACAAGATGATACAACAGAATAGCCTTGTTGCTTCACGTTTAAGTGAAGCAAAACGCTAATCAGAAGTTTTGTACAGTAGTGTTTTAGATAGAATCCAAATGTATTTTGTTATCCAAATTTATAATATTTGAATGGGTTAGTCTTGTTGAGTCAAATCATGTCTTAGGTATTTAACTAGATTCAATTATTCTGAATCTTTATACACGTAACGCGTTAACTATAGATTCTTTAAAATATCCTGCCCATTTTGTAAATAATTATTTAGTCGGTTAGTCTAGTAACTGAGATAAAAACACAATCTCTTGAATTCACTCATTTTTAAACACTTGAATAATAATGTTTGTAACTGTCTACTGACATACTGTTTAATTTCATGAATCTATGGTAAAAAGGATTTGTAGCTAAAAGTTTGACCCTGTTCTTTTACTAAATGTCAGAAACAGAATCACTAAACTTTCCATATTTACTCAATATTCACTTCTACATTTTCTCAACTAAACCTCGATCTCAAAGAAAACACTGGTGTTTAAAATTTAAATCTTTACCCAGTACCCAGATTGATATCAATAAATTAGTTTCATGATAGCTCTTAAGTTTCTGTAATCTATAGTTGTAAAGCGTTCACATTAATAAACATAGATTTAAATCAGTAGTACTAATTTGATTGATTACATTCAACACTAACCAAAGTTATCAGCACTAGAAACTAATGACATAAAATGAAATAGCGATTAATAGGAACTTGACAGCATTTCTACGATACACTTTAGGATTTATCATGTAATTTTTCATTTTTAAACTTTCTTTTGTTGCTAGTTATCAGGATTAAATTAGTTGATAAATATTTGTTATAGTTAGGTAAGACATTTTCAATTTTCAAATGTAAATTGGAAGAAAAAAAAGAAATCAATAAGATCCTTTTACAAGGCCAATAAACTGGTTTTAATAATTTCTTGCCTAACTATAGATTTGAAGATGAACAAAAATTTTTGTGCACATACATGTAATATATTGATTAGTTTAAAATTGAACAATCTAGACCAGAATAGTTTGATAAATTTGAACCAATCAGTAAGTCTTGTGACCTGAATAAAATTTTCCCCTGCTTTTTTTTGTTTATCATAAATTAATAAGAGTGTGCCTTACAAAATACAGTATTTTGGATTTATTACACATATTGAATAATATACGATATTTTCCAAAAAAAATAATGACTTCCAAATCAATTATGGATGTAGTTAGAGATTTAAGAAGAGCGTCGAATTTTCGCAGAACATCAGTATTTAACGAAGATGTATGTAATAATTTTTTGTTGTTGAACCAATTGAAAGATTTGTTTTTTTTGTGATGGGTTTATTTGATAACTACTTAAATTAACATTCATTTTACAAGCTTATCTAATGTACGAGGGTTAAAACTGTTTTTTTGAAAGGACTAATATTTGAACTCGAATGAAAGACTGATAAAAGCTTGAGTAATTGTTTAAGCGCCAAAAGTTTGAAATTTTGCTTTTTAACATGAATTTATACTTTCTTGTAACTAAGCCTAATTCAACTTGGAACTTTTGAAGATAATAAAGAATATATGTATTGATTAAAAGTATATATCATCAACCTTATGGTTAACTGTTGAAAACTTCATTCTTGATAGGTTAACATTCAAAACATCAGTTGATGATTAGTCTATCTGAATTTATCCATTACCTTTAAGATATTTTCATTAAGTTTATTAATTTACAGCTAATTAAGTTTTTTTGCAAATTTTCGATTATTTTTTGTTTTTTTTATTATTAAATACAGTTAAGATGACCATTGTTTTAATGTTTAAAATCGTTCAGAAGGACGATGAAAACTCCACGACCAAACCATCGAGCTCAGATAACAAAACTTCATCGAAATAAATCGATTGCAAACTAGCGACAAGTGTTGACAATGGTATTTTATTAAAAGAAACTTCATAGACTCATTATTAAGTTTTTAAACATGTAATATATTATAAATAAATAATATATTTGTAATATCCCAATGAGTAGAAAAATTAGATTTTCTGACGTTTCGTGACTCAGTGTAAGCCACTTCTTCAGAGAATAAATAACCAAATTAACATTAATCCAAGTTTAAATAGTACAACGGAACAATCCAAGAATATTACTTATATATATATATATTACTTTTAAACTAGTCTCTATCAAATAGCTGATGTATTTAGCATTAGTGAACAGATGAACTAATGAATATATATATATATATATATATATATATATATATTAAGGTGGTAAAAACTGATGGTTTAATAAGCTAAACACTAACCACAACAGATAATGTGCCATTTCATTTTTGTTAGATTGATGTTGAAATAATATCTTGAAGTTTATGTATAAAAATATTTTATTTTGAATGTTGTAAAATGTATAAACACTGAATCTGAAGTTTTGTTGTGAATGATAATTTAAAAATTAGCCTTTCATTTAAAATGAGATCATAAATCGATTACTGTTCGAACACCACTGAAAACCTGGAAGAACTCGACAGCCTTCCTGTACTAGTATGAGACTCCTCGTAAGTGCACATTTACGGTTCCCTACGCGGGGCTCGAACCCGAGACCTTAGATCTTGTGCGCAAACACTTGACCTTCAGACCACTGAGCCGGCATCCAACGGTGTTAATGTTTAACTTCAACCAATTTACAGTATTGCACAACCATCTTCCATTTAACTGTTTTTTAATGTTAACGCATTAGAAAGACTTAAAAACGTTTAGGTTTTATGTATTTGGTTCAATTCTTAGTTTTTATACAAATGAAAATTAGAATGATTACACAAATAAAATAGTGTCACCTTATATCAAGGCTATCGTCATCAGTTACTAGTTGCCTAGAATTACAAAAAGCAAACGCTTTACATTCTTCAGTTCATAAAATTGTGATGAATAATGTAAATGGTAAGAAAGGCTATCAGAACAAGGAAATACAAATTATAGTGTAATATCTAATCATACAAAAATAATTATAAGAAGGACATAATTACTAGTAATCATTACAAAAATATAAATGATTGAATGAGTGATCAATAAGACTGAAGCAAAATTAATATAATAATTGAATCCTGCTGAGTGGGTAAGAATAAAGTTATGCAATAGGTGACAATACAATTTATTATTGTATTATTGTACAAAAATTAATATCATTTATACGAGTCTATAAGAATGTTGAGAGATGGTGGAGAAGATTTATAGCTCATGTGGATGATTTCGATTGAGTTTTGTTCTCTGAACTGGATGGTTTGGTCGTGGAAGAAGACTTCTACTTCAAGTTTGTGCTGATGATGTTGTTCAGAATAATGATGAAAGTTCCACGATCAAACCATCGAGCTCAGAGAACAAGAATTCATCGAAAACATACAATGTTAATTCCTTTAGTGCACTCCATTTTATTCATTTAATCTTGTTTTCTTTATTTTTTTCTTCAGTTTTTAATAACACGTTTACCTGAGAAAATTATGCTGCAAATTTTTTCGCATTTAAGTCATCCAGAATTGTGTAATATTGCACGTGTTTGCAAAATGTGGCGTCGGTTAGCATATGATCATTCATTGTGGCAGTCACTCAATTTACGACCTGAATATGGTGGAATATTTGTGAGTAAATTTTTTAAAGTGGTTTTGATGATAAGTAAGAACAACAAAATTTTTTAATCAAATAATCATTTAAATTATATAGTCAAACTAAAGTATATATAGTTATGGCTAATTACTGGAATATTTTCAGGTCGTATGAGATAAAAAAAACTGATCTCCAATGAAATATAGACAATGATTGGATAACTATTATATGCTTGTAGAATCTTGTATATCGAAGCATTTTTGTAAATGAAATTGATGAAATACGGTAACGATGAATGGACTTAGTTGAATGGACTGAATTTGTACGTTTCCCATGTTTAGAGAGCCTTTTGCTTTTTCCTACCAATAATTTAGCACCAGAAAGGTTTTCTGTGATGTTATGTTATTTATGTTTATGAATAAGTAGAAAATCACCTTACAAAATAGCGCAACATTAATTGAGACCACACGATCTCCTATTCTACGAAAAATAATGATTGTGCGGAAACAGAGGTAATCATAAGTGTATTTACGAAACTTAAGTGAATTTTGTCAATAAAATTACATTTTATACACAATTTAAAATTCAAGTTAACGGAAAGACCTTTTACTGATAATGATATGATATTGATAATTCAGTATTAGGTGAATCATTTGAAAGGGACTGGGATGAATTCTACCCTCATTGTTCCACGATCAAATTCATTCAAGCTAAAATAAAATAGCTTGAACTAAAAAGCTCTCGTTGATTAAGTTATTTTTAAGTGACTAGTGGTATGCTAGATCGAACACTTAGTTACATTTCACTCCTTTCAACAATTATTAAGTTAATTACATTTTTTATAAATGTAATTTTTTTAACCTTTTGATTAATATAGTAAAATCTACCGCTTGTATAGTGTAGTGTTTGTCAACTAATCATTGACTTAATCAAAATAATTCATTTTGAAAATAAAGAGTTATTGATATCGACGTTAAGTATTTGATGAATACTCTAAAGAATGTATAATTGAAGTGTAAAACTGTTATATTACAGCTTACTATCAACGCTTATAGATTTGAAAAGTCAATTACAATCAGCTTATAGACATATTTAACAACAGATGTTGTTAGATGATATTTACACAAATAAGATAATTCTTATTGACATCATATTTCTTGTAACATTTGTTTGCTTAAGGCATTGTTTGAAAAACAAAATGGCTACATTTTAAGGTTATCTAACCATGAATAGAAGAAAAACAAATTTTCTTCAGATTTTCCCTTCGTCCTAATATATATGATGAATACAGTCTAAAACATTCCAGCGGTTGAATGTAATTAAGCGAAAAATATTAACTTAAACAATATATTTCTAAGGTTGTTATAATGAATCGTCTGAATTCAATCCATGCTCATCGGATTAATTTAGCACTAATTTATTCACTATTAAGTGAATGATACTGATCATAAACGACAGTAATGAGAACCATTATTTTGCTCTGTCGCCTAGGTATGGATGATTTCAATCAGTTTTTTGGTTAGTTTACTCACCAGGTATGACTTTAAACGTGAATTGATTAATAACCAAATAACTATATGTATATCAATTTCGTATCGGTTATTTGAATCTTCCGTTGATGTTTAGGACTGCAATTGACCAGTCTCTTATTGACATATGTGCATCCTTTGCCACCATCAACCTTTTTTATAACGCTTGTGACCTAAGGTTATAATCTATGCAATCCTCAGATAATGTACATATGTCAATAAGACTGATCAATTGCAATCCTAACCATCAATACGAAGTTTCAAACAACCAATAAAAAAGTGAATTAAAACTTCAACTCAGTGCACCAGATATCTGGACTCAGTGGCTAAATGGATAACGCGATTGTGTTTTAAGCGAACGGTAATTGGTTTGAGTCTCAAAGTGAACATCAACTTCTGAATGCAGGTATATCTAGTTGCCTAAATAGGACGAAACGCACTTCAACTGCTAGCCAATATATATATATATATATATATATAATGGTCATTATTGAAATGCATGAAAGTTTCTGATAGTTAACGTTGTAGTTACTGATTTTTAAGTTTGATGGAAGCACAAAGAGATCATGATGAGAGTGCACATTACCGCCTAGCTTCTTACAGAAAAAACCAATGTTATAGACATTGTTAGCTGATGACATATTCTATGCGGTACGAATACTTAGTTTATAAAACAATCAATTACTAAACAACACGAATTTGTGTTGCTGACTTGTTTGTAGGTTTATGATAACACAACTATAACTAGTTAAAGTTTGAATGAGAAAGCCCAGAACAATCAAACATATCCTTGTGTGTAGTTGAAAGTTGTGTATTTATCATAATTGTCTAGCTAATGCAGTTAATCAAAACCAGGATGAGTTGATAAACATATTTCTATAATCAGTTTGTAATATATTATGCCTGAAAATCTACTATAAAATTAATTAGTAGTTAAATGTTTCAATACTATTTTCACTAATTTAACCACATTTAAATTGTTAATAGGAGATTCAATGACATTTGAGACCTGATTGGATATTGACCATTCTCAAGATTACATATCGATCTTTTTAACAAGTCATGAAGAAATCAAGAGCCTTTTAAATTAAGTGAAGCGTCATTTCAATTCAACAGCATTTAATGGATTGTTTTAAAGAATGCATATATTCTAATTAACCATTTCTTAGTACAACATACCATCAGTACTTAACTTCTTTTACTATAAATTATTATCGTTCGTTTAATATTCAGTACACTATTCTTATCACTGTGATTCCATTTCAAACTTTAATTTTTTTCAGGTGAGATCAATTGATGAGCTATTAAATCTCATTCATCATAGGTCTGGAAGTGGATTAAGGTGTATTGAATTATCGAGCGACCTAGTCACCATACCAGTTTTAGAGGAACTTGGAAATCGATGTCCAAATCTTCGCTATTTAACTCTTGATTTTTCTAATGCTATGCAACTACATGATTTCAACGAATTGGCTTCGTTCCCTTCGTCAATCAAATATTTGTGTATTTGTTTAAGTGATGTGATATTTATGGAAGGTTTAATGAGAAAAATATATTCGTGTTTATCAGCAGTTGAAATTTTGCACTTAATTGGTAAGTTCTTGTTGAGTTCATTCAAAAATTAAAATGTTTTTCAGAATGTTACGAAAATTAAAACATTCATTGTCAAACTTTTTTGATAGCTCATAAATAAACATGGAAACGTCTTTCCTTTATTGACTCATGATTTTACGTTTAATAATTGTGTATGTCAACTAAGAAATCATATCCTTAAACTCAAATCCCTTGGAAGATGTGAGTACCAGGAGAGGAGCTGACTTAGCTTCAAATCACCACCTAGTTGTCGCCAAGATGTAAATGAAGCTAAAGAAACACTGGAAAGCTGGGAATAATAACAATCTCAACCGATTTGGTATAACTCCTAACAATAGGTTCTAAGCCTTATAGAATCTTCTGCAAGGAGAAGAAACTACTATGAAATACAACTGGAATAGGATCAAAGAAGCACTAACTTCAATGTGTCAAGAGGTTCTGGGTCGCGAGAAGCATCGTCATCATCAGGAGTGGTTGTCCATTGAAACCTTGGTGAGGATTTAAGAAAGAAGGGACAAGAAGTTATCAAATTACAACGGTCGAACAAGATTAGAGGAAGTCAAAACATAAGCTGAAGGCACAGAAGCAAAGAGACAAGTGAAGAAGAGCATTAGAGTTGACAAGCAGAAATACGTGGTAGCATTGGCAACGACATCGGAAAAAGCTGTAAGAGAAGGAAATATGAAACTATACGACACAACGAAGAAACTAGCAGGGAAATATAATAAATCAGAGAGACTGGTCAAATACAAAGAAGGAAAGCCAATCACTGAAATTCAAGGACAGATGAACAGATGGGAAGAATACTTCGATGAACTCTTGAATAGACCAGCTCCACTGAAAGCAATATGACCTGACAATATAATGAAAAAAATACAGTTTGACAATCACTGAAAAGCATTAAGGAGCTGGCAATTATTCCATCTTAGTGGATCAAATACAAGATATGCTGTTTGCAAGATCTGAAGTCTCTTATTTAAATCCTCGCTGATGTTATGAGTGTTCATTGCTCAGCTGTCTAAAACTAGGACGAAACAACTGTCTGGTGCTTGCTGAATTAAGTGGTTGTCTAAATACGATCATTTTGTGCTGCTGAAGAGTCTCCACAAAACCCTTACACTTAACAAACACTTGTTCATCTTACAACAATTTTAAAGTAAAACCATGTATTCATGTCAAAGTATTTATTGAAAAAAATTTATTGTTCTGGATATATTTAGGCGTTTGACTTTTTACTAAAATCAGTTCTACTGTTAATATATTTGTAAAGTTACCATTGAATTTGTAGATACAAGTATAGAAATTATTTTACTACGTTAAAACGCTGATTTTCTTCCATTTATTAGGTGAACTATTTTAGTAAGTACATATTGTTATGTGTTAAATCGAATAAAGTATATTATACAAACAACTAGTACATAAATTCACTTGGTATTGTTCGGTGGAATCTTCCCATTGATGTTTAGGACTGAAATGAATCAGTCTCTTATAAGTACATATTATCTCGATATAGCCTTAATTCGCAAGAATTATAAGCAAAGATGGATAGTGGCTAGCAGTGGACGCGCGTTTCGTCCTATTTGGGACTCTTCGGCTGATAGAACTGTGGTGTATATTACTTATGCCGATAGTTATAATTAGTATGTAACAGCAATCGGAAACCGTGGTTGCAAAAGGCTAAGAAGATCAAGTTGAAGGAAGTAGAAAGGGAAATAGAAAGAATCATTCGGTACATGAAGGACAGATGATGGAAATTTTCGAATGGAGTATTCAATGCATGGTTCTTATATTTTACCAAGATACTCTGTAATTTTGTGTTAACTTACACCGTTTGTTTCACCTGTGTTCTTGTTCACATCAGACTGGATATACAGATTTGAGCTGACGTGGATCATGGGATAGGTTTGACTCGTTGCTCACTATGCTCTATCTTGAAATGTGATTTTATTAATATTTCCCTCTAGCAAAACATCAATTTAACAAATCACAAGACCAGTTGTTTATGTAAGCTAATTAAATAATGAAATTTAATAAAAGATTTAATAATGAAAATTTTCTTTTATTTATTTAAAGGAACTTTTGAATTAGCCACAGAAGAAGAGGAAGAAATTTATGAGGTGAGCGATTTTTGAGAGTAGGCTCTTTTTTGTAAAAAAACTCTTTTCAGTCCATTTAAGTGATTTTAATGTTGGGTGAAACATCTACTCACTCTTAAGTGCTAAATAATCAGTCAGTAAACAAACCAAGTGGTTTTTTAGAGCTAAATAAACAATCCACTTAGAAAAAGGACAAAAAACTCAACATTATTCAGGATCCAGTGAGTACGCTTATTTTCATTTATTTCGAGACTTCGAGACGCATGTTGGTGCAAATACAAAACATTTTACAGTATAGATGAGAATATATACTAGTTAGACAAATTGTTTGCGTGAACTAATCCAGTTCTATGAGTTACCAAAGTAATTTTTAAAAGGTATGTAGTCAAAGAAGATCACATATTTTTTGGAGTTGAAAGCAAATACTTTAGCAACAGTAGCTCGATGATATGTTTGAGGTCATCACGGTTTTCAACCAGTCGATTTTAGCTTAATCAGACATCTTAAATAGAACATAGTAAAGAAAAATTAGAAATTAAAAATGAAAATTATTTTTTTCAGACATGGAAATTATTTATTACTGTAGAATTTATGCTTATACATTATAGGATATATATATATATATATATATATATATATACATATATATATGGCAAAGCGAATGATTCATCGGGAGATATTTAAGCAACTGACATTTAAACTAGAGCGAGAAATATGTGCATAGGCTGCTACATTTCATCAAGATTAGATGTTCATACAAACATGATGTTAATAATACTAATAATACAAAGATATAAAAAAATGCTACTGTTAGAAGAACACTGTCTGTTAAATAATTTAATTGAAGAGTTTGTCAAAATTAACCTTAAATCATCTTAATTGTAGGAAGGATGCTATAAATCCTGTTCAAAGTTTGTATCGAATCAATTGGATTTTTTGAAGTTTCACTAATTCAGTTTTAGGTTTAATAGGTTTACTGTAAAAATACATAGTTGGAACCATTGTCAATAATAAAGTAATAATAACCTGTAAGGATGGCTCGTTGACAAACTCAAGGAAGCTTCAAAAAGCCCAGAAAGAGCCAAAGACATCCCATTCAATTACGGCTAGAGGGAAATTCTAGAATGTCGACGTGTAGCTCCCCTATTGGATGAATGAGAAGACCCCCCTGTGTGCCTATTGGCTATCCGAAATGATGATTTACTTTCAGGCAAAAACTATGAATACGTGAGATTTTTGTACTATATTTAACACTGGAATAACACTTCTTCCACTTCTTGCGACTTGGGAAGATTCTGGCGTTCGAGTGCTCAGGTATTACGCGACATACTAAGAATCTAAGTTCAAGATATAACATAACCAAAAATTCAATCGATTGAAAAAAAATTAAATATTTCATATTTTGTTACTGAAATGTATAAACATTAATTAAACGACAAATATGCCAACAAAGAGACTGATCAATTTCAGTCTTCAATGACAATGGGAAGATACGAGTAAACAACATCAAGTGAATTAATTAAACAACTCTACAAAATGTTATCAAGGTTTATAATTGATAATTTAAAATAAATTGAGTACATAATAGACTGTTAATAATATGGATAATGAAATATGGAATTAAGAATTGAGTATCTTGTTACATCTCCATTGACTTTTCAAATTAATATTTATTTGCTATTTAATTATACTAAATAAAGTTTAGAAAACAATGAAACTTATGTCTTATTAGATTATATTTTTAGCTAAAACGATATAAAATTATTTTTGTGAACTGAAGATTGTTAAAACAAATCTTATTACTTCACTTAGCATTGTTTGTTTGAATCTTCCCATTGATATTTAGGACTGCAACTGGTAAATCTCTAATTGGCATATGTACATACTGTGCTTAATTCTCAAGTATTGTAAGCAAAGATGGATAGTGGCTAGCAGTGGAATGCAGGACGCGAGTTTCGTTCTACTGGGTTCGAGTCACAGAGTGAACATCAACTCTGGGATGCAAGCACATCCAGCTGACGAGTCCCGAATAGGACGAAATGATGGTTCTGGATTCCACTGCTCTCCACTATCCATCTTTGCTTACAAAACTTATTACTGTTTGATTTTCCATCTGACAAATTAGACTCTACATTGTCACTATAAATATGATAGTAATATGATTGTGGAATTACTAATTTTATCTGACTTTCTGCTCGTTAATATCTGCGTCGTTCTCATAGTTGTAATTCTATACCGTCATGTAGTGCTGTGATTACTTTAGAGATATCATTAATATATGGCAACAGATTAAAAGTGTGAAGATAAATCACAATAGTTGAGTATTAGTAAGTAATGTTTCTGAAAATGGATTTAGATTATTGTAAATTTATGGTAAATTGATAAATTTACATTGTGCCTTTGCTAATTTATGAATTAAAATATTGACTAGGGAAACTAAAAGTAGACATTTTCTCATATTTTCATTTCCTTATTTATTTTTCAGGTTATCAATATCAGTAAAATTAAAGCCCATACACCTAATTTACGTGTTATCAATTTATTTGGTATCAATTTTATTGAAGATAGTCATGTAGAATTATTAGCCAGTAATTGTATTCATTTGGAATGTGTCGCGCTTAATTTTTGTTTAAATGTTAAGGGTTCATCGTTTACATTATTGATTGCAAATTGCAAAAAATTAACAACCCTACTTCTAGAACATTGTGGTGAGAGGAATTTTTCATTTTAAAGTTTATATTTAAAATAATGCATTACCATAGTATTTTATATTCTGATTTAGAATTGCATACTTTGTCAGTTTAAATGCAGCAAGTTGATATATACAGTGGTTGCAGGACGCCTTGATCACCTCAAAACTTATTTAAATAAAAAGCTCATCTGGAGTAAATTAAATCATACTTATGACAAATCTTTTCATTTATCATTTGTTGAAATCGTCTTATTGTATTTGAGAAATACATATTGGGTCATTGAAGAAATAAGACGATTCAACTGAAGAAATTTTTTTTATCAATGATGTCATTTTCTAAAACTATGTGATAGTACTTTTGATTAGAATACATAAGTTTATAATTAAAATAGAAAGTTATTGAATCCTATGAAAAGTGATCTACAACTATTGTGAGTTTCGAAAACAATTACTTTATGTACTAAAGTGAAAATAAATTATAGATGATATATGGCTAACAGTGGTATCTAGAACGCATATTTCATCCTGTCTGAAACTCGTTAGAATTATGTACATTCATTCTGATGTTGATGTGAACAATGGTGTTTGAACTTACTACCTGTAACTCCATCACCCTGTCTATGTAAATATTTAACCTGAATAGTCACTGGCATATTAATCGGGTTTAAAGGTATTGTTAAATCTATGTAATTCCCCGTTATTATTTAGAACTAGAAGTGATCAGTCTTTCATGTAGTATATGCATCCTGAGCGGATGGTCTAGACACAATGGATCATGTGTAGAATCTATTATATAGGGATAGAAAAACCACTCGAAATTGGAACATTTATGAGTTATTTAGCAGAACGAATTAATATTTCACTTAATAAGAGGGTACGGAGAAGAGTAGATAATTTTTAAAGCTTTACATTTATCTACATACAGAGTAAATTTTTAAATAACGTTATGATCTTAACATCTAAATGATACTAATCTATATCTATCCTAATTAATCGCATTATGAAAATGTACTCGTTTTGTTGAAACTATTAATATGAGAGATCATCAAGAAATATATTTAAAGTATTCATTATACTTAATGATGTTTTAATAATTTATAATTCTGATAATATTTTCTTTTCCTATACAACAATGGTTTTGGAATTATGTAATTCTGATAGTATCGTTAGAGAGTTTTTTTCCGCCAGTTATGTGTGCTATTTACTTGTATTAATTAATTAATTGATAATTTTGATTGTGATTTGTTTGTACAAGGTCTCAAAGATGAATTTATGATGGCTGTACCATGGGAAAATTCAGGAATCTGTGAACTTGATATAACATCTACAGAATTATCTGCTGAATGCCTTGAAAATTTCTTAACACGTATACCATATTTTACTTATTTGGCAGCAGGTCATACAGATTTTTTTACTGATCATGTAAGTAATATGTAGAATTTTTAAAATAATAATAATTTACTCGTTTCTAAAAATGTGACAACTTATGATTGCATTTCTAAAATTTGAAAAGATTTTTTAGAATGATTAAGAATCAAGCACTTTATGATTTAATGGTCCAGTTACTTAATGATTACAATCATGATTAGGTTGGAACATGTTTGATTTTATTTTTAAACTCCACCGTAGCAAGCATTTCAACAAACAATGGAAAAAGATAGATGGAATATTGCTAGCAAAGGAACCCAGGAGGCGTTTTGTTCTACTTGAGACTCGTCAATTGTATGTAATTGAATCCAAGTTGATGTTCACTCAACGACTCGAACCTAGTACTGTTAGCTTCAAATGCGCCCATACTATTCATTCGGCCATTGAGTCCAGATTAAGTTTCAATCAAAATATCAATGACAAGATATTCCAATCCATTTCAAGTTTAATCAAAGCAATAGAATAATTTGTATTGTACAGCAAAAGGGTTTGATATCATAAAAAATGTTTGTGCTTCAGATTATTTCAACTAGCCATTTACTTAATCCAAGTTGTCTTTTTATGCACAAGTAACGCTTAAGTAGGTGTGTTAGAAACTCCACTTTGCTAGAGATTGTACTTTTGATAAACTGACCTATTTGTAAGAATTCATTGTTATCTCCCTAACTGTTCATTTATAATGACTTTAAAAGGTCAAGAAACACAGATGAAAATGAAATCAAATGTTTTTAATTTTTTGAATACAGTAACATACTATCCATACATCTAAGAATGTTTTCTCTCATTTATATTCTATTTTATCTATGCATTTCGAAATAGTCTGTAACAACAGTGCCTAAAATATCGTTGTTTAGAAACCTTCATTTAAAATATATTATTCGCTTTTTTTAGCTCCTGAAAGGTCTGGTGTAGCCATTTTCATGTTCTGATAATGTATTAACAATAGAGAATTTCAATTTAATAATCACACCATTTATTTTGTAGATATTGAATACACTTTGTGACAGTGGTAAATTTAAGCAAGTCAAAGCTATTGATTTGAGCCATACACCGGCACTTAACGAACAGTCCATAACAAATCTTCTTAAACTTCATGGTCATCAGTTACATGGTCTTATGCTACATGGCAAAGCTACTTTAGCTGAATATTTTTGGACTACTGTGATTCCATATCTTGGTGCAATAAAGTACGGATTTCATTCCTTATTACTCTGCAATATTTATTTATTTGGGTAGTTTGTAAAAATTGATTTTTTTAAAGATAATTTGGGCTTTAGGCTTTTATTGACGAAAACATCTCTAAAAACTAGGCAGTAGCAGAGGGCTTTGGATTCAGAACAGGAAACCTTCAAAATATCTTAAAGAATAAGTATTATATGTTTATTAGTATTTAAATGTTTGAGATAGATTCTGAAAGTCTTACAGAAAGTCTTGACTAGAGGAGTCAACTACATCTAGTGTGAAAAGTCATGGCCTATGACGTTGGAAGATAGTTGTATAATGTCAGGAAATGAATAAAGTTGAAAAAATAGACCACTGAAACATGTAAAAGTAATGAACAATGTGGGTAAAAGATAATCCGAAAAGGGTGAATAAATGTAAGTGATATTTTTTAATCGTAATAAGCTGACTGGTGCATCACAAAATTCCACTTTTTTAAACATCGTTTTAGTTTTGATGAGGCTATCGTAAGACGACCTTGCTTATTTAATAAAATCAAACAGAAATTGTGATCTACTGTAATCAGTATAAATAGCAATGATTATTGTTCTTTAGTCCAGTAAGCTATCGATAGTACTTCCAAATGTCTAAGTATACTTGAGATGCAGATACATCCAGCTGATGAGTCCCAAATAGGACGAAGCACGCGTTCTGAATTCTACTGCTAACCACTATCCATCTTTGCTTATAACGCTTGTGAATTAACGCAATATCGAGGCAATACGCACAGTATGCATATATGCCGATAAGAGACTGATCAATTTCAGCCCTAAACATCAATGGGAAGATTCAACCGAACAATACCAAATGAATTAATGCTTGATGATTGTTTTTTACGTAGATAAACGTAGTATATTTCACGACTGTCAGTAAATTGTAATTATACAGATATTTCCAAACAACTGTGGCATTAATAGATTTAAAAACAATGTTTTTTTCAAAGTGAAATCGCCTTGTCTGGTGGTATATAAATGAATCAAATTTAAAGCTTTAAAATCTAGAAAAGCGATCTTAAAATTGTACTTGGAAGGGAAAAGTAAAGTAACGAGATAATTCAATAAGAAAGTCAAATATTTAGTCAAATTATCCGGCTTTTAAAAATAACGAGACCACAGCCGTAACAATCATCCTAACCTTTCTGATAACTGTTTACGGTACATTTATCTTTTTGAAAATTTTTAGAAGATATGATCCAGTCATAGTGTAGTGAACAGAACACTGGTTGGGGACAATCGGATGTATTTAAGCAAAATTACAGACTATCTCAGTAAATTCTGAAAACCATACAATGAACAGTCAATTTGCAAATTAACAACCAATTGTTTCAATCTTCACTGTTTCTTCTCTAATTCCACTGCTCATGCATTTTCTAAACGATTGCGCTTCATTTCAGTTCTTTCCTCATCGGTCTTCTGCCAAAATACATTCTATGTCTGACCCAAACCATATACTACTTATATGGATATAAGTAGACCACACCACAATAGAACATTTTATGGCAGTATTTCACCATAATTTGAGCATATTTGACACCTATAGAGAGCCATCTAACCTTGGATGAATAATTTGTACCTTTCTCATCAATCAGTAATCAGGGGTTCAGTAAGAGGTGTTCATATTTTGTTAAAGCCCTATTTCCCTGAAACCAACATAATACATATATGGATTGAATAAAGCACTTGTTAGCAGTATTATTTTTAAGCGAAGTCCGATCACTAACAATATCGCTGCACGTACCACTAAGAAACATGTAAAAATAAAAGCATGATAAATTAAACTTTATGTTAAAATACGAAGATTTCTAAACAAAAGAAGGGTGAAGAGTGAGTTACTTCTTTAAGTTTTGTCTTTCTGTTTTGCTTAAAAGAACCAAAATACCTTATGCACTATTTCAGAAGTACTTGGATAATTTTACACCATGAAACAAACTATTCACACCATCAGCTTTGTTTCGACATGTTTGGGAGTATAAGATCGGTTACAAAACACTTTAAACTTATAGCAACTGCTACAAAGTACACTTTTTCATTAGTTTTATTTTATGAGTTCTTTTATTCAGCAGTATAACTGTAACGTTACCCAACCGCGCTATTTTATGAATAGTTGCTTATTGTCTTAAATTACATAATTTTATACAAAATAATTAAAATTGCCTTTTTTGTGAATTGGATCAGGGTTTGTGTACTTGGAGCGTCACATGGTTGGTTTTTTAAATACAACACTCGAGTTCATATTGATAAAATTCTGGAAAGTTTTGCTGGATTTTGTCCAAATTTAGAAGCATTAGAAATACAATGGGATCCAGATACTATTCGTTTTAGTGACAAAAGTAGAAAATTCATTGATCGAATTAGGTAAGTTTTTATAACACATTGTTCTAATAAGAAATTCAATAAGTAATTCATTTGTTCGGAATGACAGATGCTGTGTTTAACAGCAATGAAATGTGAATACCTAAGATGCGCTTCATATGGAGATCACAGTTATTAGGTTATCAGTATTTCGGATTGTTGATAGAAATTTCCGAAGTAATTTTAGGGGAAATTCTCTAAGTGACCATTCTTATTTTTGATGTTTTTATTTTTTTGCTATTAATAATCAGGATCACCGTCAATCTCTGTCGGGATACGCATCCCATGAAATGATACCTGACAAGTTAATTGTAGTTTCTAGAGTGATTAGCATTAGAATTCAGAGTACTAATTTGACACCACGTCAAACGACTGATATAACAATTATGACCCAGTAGCCTAGTGAAAATCTTCTGTATATTGAAGCAATAGTTGCTGCGATCAAGTCTCACTACGAATATCGGCACTGAGATCTGAATATATCTAGCAGACGATGCCCAAATAAGACAACACTCACATCCAACTTTACATTATTAAGCTCTGTCGAAAATATTACACTATGGTTACTGATAAGTATTAGATTAAAAATATTTATTTCTGCTATAATTTAAGAAAGTTGTATACAGTTACATAAGTTCGTCTAGGATATTTTATCATCCGAACATTTTATACAGACCTTTGTATTTTCTTGTTTCAGAATCAAATGTCCTCGGTTAAAGTCTTTAACTCTTAGTGATGGAAAATACTATGAAATGGTCAAAGGAAATTTCGAAAGAGCAGAATGTCCACGAGTTGTACGTACTACAACTACTTATATTACAAGTATTATTAGCTTACTCAGACGTTATAAGGATTTGAGATTTAATTAATTTTATTAAAATTTATATGTAATCACTCTTTTAGATTGTGTACAACGCAGAGAAATAATCAGGTGAAATAATATTTTAAAAAAAGATAATGAATTGCAGATAATCACTTGAAATTTCAATGTGATGTCTGAGGAAACTAAAAGTCCTATAGTGCAGCCAACAAAATAACATTCAAATTTGTATGCTGTTAATTTGTCAATATTTTTTGGAATCTGCTATTGTATAAGAAATGGAAATATGTAATTATATTTTATAGAAAATATGGCTTAGCCTTTTTCAATTCAATTTTAATTCCATGTAATATTTTTCTCCAAAAGTAAATATCACTTAATATTCAGTGGGAGTATATTTTCAAATGTTCAAATTGTTCAAATTGTTGAGGACGGAATAGAAGAAGCCGTCGCTTCCGTGTCTAGTAGCAGTAGATCACCAATACCTCCAGGCAAGAACCTAGGATACGTTTTACGTCAAAAAAACATTTGACAATATATATTTGTCTTTTAGATGGTAAAAGTATTTTATCATCTTCAAAAACTCATAAATACTAATCTTTCAGGGTTGTGGATATTGGTTCTTTATCAAAATTTGTCACATGTATATATTATATGACAATAACCTTTTGCTTTTACCGTCGAAAAGTCGTAATCGGTCCCTGCATCGGCATATTAAGCTTGCTGTTGATCCTAGACGAAGTCACCACTGTTCATTCTACCTATTATTTAATTGTCTTGGTAAGTTATCGTATTTGAGCGGTTCACAATTACTGTGTTTTTTCTTCGTTCTAAGTATGGTTCAAACAGAGGGGAAGCCATATTGTTTGTTTCTCTTGGAACTGTCACAGTTTGGATTGACTGCAATCAATTAGCTTCTGACCATTTTATCATATTTCAAGATCGTTAGTAAGCTTTCTTTTTTCACTAATTAATCACCTGATGTCTTGCAGCACAAGATTCGTACGAAATTACTTGGCTGTTGATTTAATCCGATTGGACCACTCAGACCTTAGACGACCAATTTACTTTCTTAGTTTATTAGGGATAGACTTATTCTGTTCTTTGACAATTTTCACTCAATTGCCGTGTTACGTTTTGCATATTAAATAAATGACTGAAACATTTTTTTGACGTTATTCATCTAGGTGTTCTATATGGTCCGAACTCATAATTTGAGGGGAGAACTACTAATTAAGCTTGATGAGTATAATAAGTTCTAGGATCAAGAAGTAGAGTTCCTATGTATTAGGTTTGATTTTAGTGATTAAAAATTCGTAGTGGTATTTTTTCTCAACCAAACGATCTTTGATGATGCACGCACTATAATTGAGATCCACATCCAGTATTTAACACCATGGAGAAAGCCAGAGATGGTGGATGCGGGATATTTGACCTGTATGGCATGGATCGATCATGCATGCTTAGTCATTCTATGTAACGTCATCTCTTTCACAATAAGCGTATTATACTAGCCAAGCTAAGTTAAGTTCTTCAGAAGTCCTGAATGGAATATTTCTGACTGTCACGATGGGACGAGTAAGTGTGGACTATATCGTCACTTCCACTTAAGATCTTATAAGTTAGGTAGTTACATCATGAAAAACTTCTACGTTCGACGAGCACACGATACCATCAAAATCGAGGAATGGAACGAAAAGAACAATGAATGAACATGACATTCAATGAGCCGCAGCCTTGTAAACTAGATGGAGAAGACCAGTTTCAGGCGATAGAGAAGCATATTTCACATGCAGCTCGGAAGCACGAAAGAACAGGCACACAACCCTAGCGTATATATACAGTATAAAAATATCCCCCAGTAATGCCACGAAATAGCGTATCAAGAGAGGGAAAGGACCACTGACATTAAAGGTCGTTTCAAATGGGAAACATGATCTGAAATAAAGGAGGTACTTTTGACGTTATGATGAGGAATCTAAATTTCCAAAATAAAATTGACAAAATCAGACGTCTAAGTTCGGGTACCTGGCATCCCCAACACAAATCTAAAAGTTAATGACTAGGATTGTTATTATAGTAACAAAGATAAATGTACGAATATGGAACTAGACCATAACTCTACAATGCGATTATCACGTAAGATCTCATAGATTAGGTAGTCACATTTGACAACTAAACAATTTTAGGATCCATTATTCTACTAGATTCATATTCAACTTTGTGTTGTTCCTTTTGTGATATGCTTCTGTGAGTGTCCAGTCTTCCCTTGAATGAGTCGATTGAAGGTATGGACACCACGCTTTCAGGTAACAGGTTCCAAGAATTGATGACTCGATGTGAAAACCTGTATGTCGCTGATATTTGTTTCGTTCTTGACTTTTCTACTCACCTGCTATGTCCTCTGAGATGTCTCGATCTAGTGTGAATAAATAAAGTAGTTCACGACGAAACGTTAGTAACAGCGAATCTGTTAAGTCCTTGAGAATCAAGACGCATATTCCCGAAAATTTAATGGAGTTTCTCTCCTCAAGAATCGAGTTGAACAATAAATGCCTACAACAGACATACAATGAGCCACCCCACATTCTTACTTTGAAATCAGTCAAACAAACTCTGATCGTTGATTGGTCGGGATCATAAAGTAATATGAGGTAATACAAGCACATATTAAGCAGAGTCACGTGACACAAATTCAGTTCAAGAAAGCTGGAGAACATATAAACCTGGTTTCACACAATTTTGATAAAAGTTAATACTTGTAGGACAAGGAAAAATTCACGAAATAACATTAATATCATGCAAGAAACTTCGAAAGAATTTTAAAGGACTCATTTTGTTACAGAAAGGTAAGCATATGACACATGAGTATATAGTCCCGCAGGAGATAGCTAAGACTCTCGAAGGTATGCTCTGAAGCCATATTTTCAGGTTCGCACTGTTGAACCAGAACGTTTAAAAGCTTGAGAAGTTGTTAATTAAGGGTCCAGATCGAAGTCACAGTACAGTTAGGAAAGGTCTTCGAAGAGTTGATCATAATGTTTTTGATCAAATGGAGATAGACATATTTCTCTCAATCTTTCCATACTCTCATGGTAAAAAATGCATTGTTCCAAAGCTCATCTGAATCACCAGTCCTTTTGTTTTCTAAACTCCTAGGTACAGAAACTTAAAATTTTACATTTTGGTATTCACTTATTGCTTCTTGATACTTCAGATTAACCTGGTCATCGATTTGACTAGTATGGACAGATTTGATAAATAAAAACTAGTCGTATTGGTAAAGAAGGAAAAAATGTTCTAGAACTTAATAATCACTGAATATTTAGTTTTAGGTCGTGGAATAAACCTTCATATATTGGAGTGGTCACACGTTTACTACGTCTGCAACTTGCTAAGTTCAAATGGTTCAAATGGTTGTGAACGGAATAGAAGAAGCCTTCGCTACACAGGCTTCCGTGTCTAGCAGCAGTGGATCAGCAATATCCCCAGGCGGGAACCTAGGTATATTAGCGATAATAGAAGAAAAAGAAATCGGAAAATCATAGTAAGATATTATCTTTAGTGTTATATCGATTGCTTGCATGTGCCCTGTTAATATATGAACATGCTGATTCCCGCCAATGAGAGAAGAGCGAATTATCGATCGGAGCAATGATACATAAAATCGTATGATCAGCCTTGAGTACTACTCGGTCCTGCTATATGCTTAGCCCATCAAGTTAAGTCCAGAACACCAATAACAGCCTCTGTGGTATGAATCATTATTCACAAACATACTGGGTTTATATACCAACCAAACAGACCACATCGTACTATAAAATAGAAAATGATATTTGTACAATAACTGGCCAATGTGGCTGTGAATAGGGGGAAAGTAATCAATAGACTGGTGATAACTGAAGAATCGTATAATAATAGGCCAAAGGTCAACATAAAGCTAATGATAAGAGAAACACGAATATGAATAGATTAGTTACGTTACAATTGTACAATAGGAAATATACATATTACATTGGTCCACAAATAGTTCTAAAAGTTACCATTCAGAATTCACCAGGGGATATAACACCTCCCCTTTTTGAGAAATCCGGAGTTGATATCCGGATTTTAAATTTCTCGAATTCCTCCTCCCCCACGAAAGACTGTTGGATCCTCATATACCAAGTTATTATTATTGTGACATTATATAAAGCACGTTTGTCACATTTAACAGAGAATCCACTAGAACTGACTTGATCATGAGGATCGACGACAACTGATTTGAGGTCCCCAGTCTCTGATTCTTCTGAAACAGTTTCACTGAATTTATTCGGAACCTCATTAGTAGATAATGAATCATTGGGATAATCAGTATCTATGAAAATCGTATTGGATTCTTGATTATCATTTAATGCATCCGATATTTTTCTCCCATTTTTATAAGACATTTCAACAGGAACATGTGAATCATCGAAATAATCGAAATCTGGCAGAACAATTAGGGAATCTCAATCATTAGATTCATTAGAAACGTTTTTCGCTTCATGACTAGTTTCATTTGCGCAACTGTATTCACTATACTGCTTGATTTGTTTCGCATCTCTTCGTGAGCGGGTACTGCAGCAATTTCATGAGCATTTAGCAAGACATTGTCTGTCTGTGAACAGGATAATCCACTGTTTGCACGTTTTTTTTTGGGGATAATAGGATTTGGACCTTTTATAGGGCATGTCTCTGAAACAGGCTGTATTGGACAACTGGGCTGATCAATTATGACTGCTACTACCGTTTTCCACAGATTCATAGAGGCTTTCACTGGCATATTCATTCGTTCTGCAATGGATTTCCAGCTCTGCACGCAATTTGGAAATTAATGCGTCGACTCCCGTTGCACCCCCAAAGCATGGGTGATTCAGCAGCTTTGCGTGTAACTTGTCAGTGAATTCCAACTGACTCTTTCTAAAAAGCTGCTCTTGTCGCTGGAATAGCAACTGTAATTGATCGGAAGTTAGAGCCAATTTTTTAACCCATCGCCAGTTGTTATATCGTGTGGGTGAGTGCGTGTTCTGTTTGCTATATGAAGTGATGATACCGCCAACAAGAGAATAATGAATTTATTGATCGCCGTATAAGCAGTCTTGATTACTTATCACTCCTCCTTTCACCAGGGGGTATAACATTTAGTCCTTACGTACTCTTGGGAAGTCGCCTGGACTAACTCAGCCGGCAGTGGATTCCAGCATTTGACAACTCTTAGGAATAAGAAGTTGTGTCTGCAGTCCGTTCTGCTGTTGTGTGTCTTTAATAACCCTTAATTTTGTGATTGCTACTTATGTAACATAATGTCAGCCGCAGGACATATGTGAATAAGTACTGGCTTTTATAGCAACTCTGTATTGACAAACCAACCTATACTGCATTTTACGACCAAACGTTCTAAATTGATTGGTAAACCTCAAGTTTTAGTATTGCATCAAAATGGTTGTTAGCATTGATTCGAGGTTTATTTTAAGTTTGGTGAGAAGTCCACAATTTTTTAATGCATATGTTTAAAGGGTATATCTATATTTCGTGCTAAATCTACATTTTGAAAAGTCTCAAAACTGGATACCTGAGGTCGTCTAACAGTCTGTACTCGTCGCCCAATCGTGATACACATGAAGAAAATTGAGTAATATATTATGTTGTTTCTGTCACTGTCTGTCTTCTGTGTATTCATTAACTATTTCGTTAATGTTATCAAAACTCCAACATGTCACTAGTGACCTGTTATTCGCACAGACCATTGTATATGATTTATTGAAATTTTTTGCTACCGTTTCCTGAAAAATCTCCGAAACCATATCTGAACCGATTACATAGAATTGGATAGACTAATAAAAATTAGAGAATACATACAAAAGAAAATATGAAAAATGAATGAGCTGATAGAACACAGAAGCAAATGTACAGAAAGTATATCAGTTGCCAGTTGTAGTCAGAAGGGTGTGTATTCACAATTCTGAACATACATGTGCAGTAACGACGATGGACAAAAGCAATTCCAAGTAATCAATACTGCTCAATAAAAATAAACGGCAAAATGCTTTAAAATTATTCCTCAGTACTATAATGGCTGTAGCTGGGAGTCGAGTCGCGATTGACTTTGATCACTACTACAGAAAAATTATGTGCCAGATATTGACTTGGATCCCTCGGTAGGCCATAAACCAGAAGGCCGTTAATGGCTGTAATAAGATACATTTGTTGGAGATCTCGTAGTATCGAAAGAATACCGACACGTGCCAAAGTTTACGGGCGGAACTGCCGAGCTTAAGCAAGTTCACCCAAGGTCACGGGCAACGGACGGAAAAGTGTTTTTGGTACACTTAAACGAACAAGTACATTAAAACGATCACTGGTACACTTGGTCATAATAATAATTGTTTCCATTATGCCAATCGCGTTCTCGTCATAAAAGTAGTCACTACAAGGCTTTGGATTTGATTGAATCAAAGGAGAGTTGCATAATATTTTCCTCCAGTTTATTCCACAGCTTGCGGAATTTGATAGTGAAACCCTATCATAAATTTTCACGTTTGGCCTCTTACATTTAATTGTAGAGGTACACAGATTCCCAAAATAAAATTCTGCAAGTCTTCCATATTGGTGCTGAATTCAATAGAATTATTGTACACGGCCCGTCTGAAGGCACTCGGTGTTGCATACGTCGTGCTTTGCATCCCTTATAACTACTGTTCAGCTTAGATCAAATGCTTCTCCACATATGGATAACCTGACAGTCATATCTTCAAACTCCTTCATTCTTGACTTCTGATTTTACTAGGCTCGTATTCCTTTGACTGAAAAGGTGTCACGGGAATAGTTTTCGTCGAACCCTCAATGTTTAGAGCATCTTTAATGCTATTAGGAGACCGAGATTATGTAGTATTTTAGGGTTGAAACTTTGAAAATGAACAAAGTAAACCCTATGTATTTTTTCACTTCATATTACTCGTCTCCTGGTGAACGGAAGATTTTTACTTAATTTAGACAAATGGAGGAATTCCAGTCTATTTTGTAAATCGTCATCACAATCATTTGGAACTATTGTACCATTGGAACAGTTGGCCTCAAAAGACGATTGTTGCCAGATTTGAAATGTGGATGTGTTTCTGTTTAACTCGTAACTTTTTGATATGAATCTGAAGCCTGTAATGTTGATCACAGTTTTTGTCCTAAACATATTTCTCCGAACGGTTCACAGCCTTCCCTACAGTCAAATAGAAGGTGTTACCGTCCTGCATCCTGGAAATTTCGACAACAAAACATATGAAGGAAATTGGCTTGTGGTTTTTTATCGCAAGTCTTGTGGACACTGTATAAGCTACTCCGAACCTTTTTCACAGTTTTGCCGGTCTGTAAAGAGTAACTCAATATACATTCTCCTTAAGACGACTTTATTGATTATTTGAAGATTGGAATTGGGTACTTCATCTTGGATCTGTAGATTGTGAAGATGAAACTAATATGGATTTGTGCTATCGTTTCAAAGTACAAGGAGTTCCCACTCTTAGAGTAAAATATATTTTCATAATTATTTCTCAGTTTCTATTCACGAAAAATAGTAAACAAATGTCTGGAGAAATTTCAGCTGAGCGAAACGTGACATTACTGAGAAAAAGCATTGTCTCTAAGTTAGTAAATGTTTCTTCTCTTCAACTCCCAAGGTAAGTGAAATATACGAAACTACACATGTTACAGGGACTTAGCAGTTAATGATCCGATAGTTGTTACAGGTAGCGATATGGAAGTAAACTCTCTGGTGAGTTACGAGACCATTTTAAAGGTTTCTGTAGACTATCTGACTTGGACACTTGATTAAAGGTGTACATGTAGCTTAACAAATTCAGATACTCAATCACTATCATCAATTCTTTCCCGCAAAATATTCAATGAATCTTTCCATTTTAAAGGTCACATGATTACCACTGAAGTACTGTAAATTTGCCTACATTTTAGCTGACTAACAAGTTATTTCAAAATGAGTAACTTTAGAAGACACAAAGAGCAAGATAATATTGCAACTCGAGCCCAAATAATGACAAAAATAAGTTCATTCACCCACTAGTTTGTTATCGACTTAAATGTGATTTCTAACTGAGTTCGGTAGGGTAATTTTGCATATATCAAGTACACTCAGCAATTACACACTTCAGTAATTAGTGAGAAAAAGTTTTGGAGGATGTTGGCGCTAAACTTTATGAACTGATTGTATTGAAGTATGTATTTAAATGCAGACTTTGAAATTACAGTTTTACTCTAAATCTTGATGAATTATTAACTTTATCCAAGTGTTTGTCAAATTTTTTAGTTCGTTTTTCAAATTTCTAGCTTGAAATGTTACATGTCAACCTTCAGTGATCAAAACATGTAACCGACTTGAAAAACCTCATTCTTGGTAATCATGTTTCAGTTCTAATATCTTAAGTCCCTAATGGCTGTCTAATGTAGTCGTTTTGCTGTATTTTTTAAAGCTGATACTGGATTATAGTGCCCCTCTGAAACGAGAGATCCAAAGCGCTATAGTACCAGGATTAACGGAAGTCGATGTCAGGAATCGTCGTTCCGGTGAAGTAATTGTCAAGTAAGTAGAATTCTCATACATATTGGCTTTTTAGTGCGCAGAAATTTGTGAATTTTCAATATTTGCATCAATACGCGAGTTATAAATATCAAACGCAACATCAGCATTTTTATCATAGTAATTTTTTCTTAGAGCATCAATGGGTTGATAACGTGCGAATCATTCCATTTAGTTCACTGTAAACGTTAGCATTTATTAGAGAATGGCAAATTACTGGTGGATGAACCACCCCATTTATTGACCCGTCAAAGTCGTATATTTTCTTTAGTGCTGTTTAAAAGTTTATTTTTCATTTATGAACCAAATATGAATCGGAGCAGTTTTACAAAAATGCACATTTTGGTGAATTTTTAAACAATAATTTGGTATCAGTAGAAGGCTGGAATAAAAAGCAACCGAGAATGTTACTCACTTATGGTTCTCTGAAATTGATTTTCTCTCCTCGAATGAGACACTGAAAATGTACAAGTTTGGGAAAACTATTAGTCGAATACTAAGTTTTAATTTTGTTTGCCTATAGCTCCAGCTTTAATTGGATCTTGGTAACAAACGTGAGAGCGATTTTATACTTTCTCCCAATTCGATTATTTATGAATTCAAATAGTTTAATTCTTATTAACCAATCCATTCGGTGGATAAATATTCACGAAAACAACCTTTTCAATATTAGTGTATGTCAAGCTCAATTTTTTGACGCATATAACTGCGATTTGGTAGGTTTTAAATGGTAGTCGTCCTTCTTTTTTAGTTTTCCGTGAGTTGGTTAATTATTTTAAGATCAAACGGAAAAGTATCATGTTTTGAGACTACTGACTAATGTGGCTTGTCAGTTTGCGAAACAGATTCCTAATTTTAATTTGATTCATTTTGCGTCTACTATTTTCTCGATAGCCTAACGTCCTCAAATCGACCAATTACTTTCATGACCAATACTTTCTAGTTTGAGCCGGAAATTAAATTTCTGATGGTCTTTTATTCACAAGCTTCTTTTAGTATCAGGCCTTGAGTTCAAAAGTATCGACCGACCGCTTTTTATATCTATATTTCAAAAAGACGTAGTTTAAACACACATATACCAAACCACAACTCACCATAAAATAAAAAATAACACTTTTGCATAAACAAACCATTAGTGGTTGTGAATAGAAAAGAATCTAAGTGATAGAGTAGCATTGAATTAAGAATGGTAATTTGTGTAACAGTAGCTAATGGGTTAACTGAAAGCATATGATGAATGGGATATATATATATATATAATTTTATCTACTAATTAATTATACAACAAAACGATGGTTATTAATAGTTCGGAAAAGTAGTTCCACCTTTCACAACTTTTATTCCGTCGTAACAAAAGCTATTGTATTTATTTTCCTTAGCATACTGAAATAGAATAAGCTTATAGACTAAACTATTTAAAATCTTGTTAGATATGTTTCATAATGTGAAAGCGTCTACGTATTTCTTGCTTCATGCTGACTTTTATTACAATTATTAGGGGTCCTGAGGAACAGGTTAGGATGGTACTTCAACGAATGTCAGGTAGTGAACCAAGGCTGGAAGAAAACAGTCGGGCGGAAGTGTAAGTTCGTAACTATATCTATTCATGATAACTTTACTTGTCTGTTCATATATCTATCAAAAACCGACTTGGTCCCGTAAAATCTGTTGAGAGAATAAAGTGGGACGTTTTTTCTGAATTCATAGCTTAATGTGACTGCTAGACAACTAATCGAGAACCCCATTATTATCAGACAGTAATTTGTTAAGTCAGTCAGTTAATTAATCATACTTAACGCAAAACGTGGTGCATGTATGCAACGGTCCAAGTTGCCACACCCCATTAGCAAAACGAGATGAGGTTATCAGTGTAAATACCAGAGTGGTATACATAGTAACAGTATTGATGGAAATAAGAAAGATTGGGCATAAAAATGTGATTCGAGAGGAAAGAGATTAGTGGTACGAGGTAATTTTTATAATTTAATTTGGAGACCTAGGATTGAAGTTACAACAAGTTGATGTGCTTGACCACATTGATAAAGTCAACAGTTCGAATAGAATAGTTCTTTGGTATATATCACTGGGGTAAAAAGGCAATTAAAAGCTATTTATTCCGATCAGATTTGCTGATTATCTGGTTTTATAGACTATCTAGCCACTAAATGTGAGTTTGACTGGAGTAATTGGGCTCTCAAAGCTAAAACTTTAAATTACATGGTCTCTAACCAATTATTTGAACTCAATGGAGATGCATAAGATCAGAGCAAGATCCATTTTCTGATTTAACTACTTCAAAGTAATAGGCTCACGTGAACTACGAACAAGTTGATCTTCAAACACAGGGGATGGGCGTCCAATATATATATATATTGAAATTTTACTAATGCTAAATAAAATCCAACACAAAGCAAGGAGTCCAAGATAAAAATAAATATGAATCTAGCAATTTTCCATATGCAGATAGTTACAAGTCAAGTAAACGTCGCAAGTGTTAAATTTACTATCGATAAGAATTTGAAGTGAGACACATCTGAAATATAAGTAACTTTCCCTGTATTCCACTATACTGTACAAAAGTTTTGGTGAAGTTAACCTAAAACTAGTGTTTTCAGTAGTAACTTGGATACAAGTTTATGTCATAAATTTATATCGATTCTTCTTGATAATAATTTTGTCAATAAATCAGATGAATACATTGTGAAGGTATTTTTGCACGGTTATTGGTTAACATGTTATTACAGTATTTATGAAAAAATTTGTTATAGGGATGTTAAAACAACACCAATCCAAATTAAATATCCACCGGTTTACGCAGTTGATGTCTATCGGTCACTAAGTATGCTACTACAGTCTGACGTTGGTGTACGTGATAAAATTGAGGGACCTGCCTTAGAAGCTCTTAAAGAATTTTTGGACATATTATATGGGGTAAGCTCTAAACCAAAAACAGTGTTGCTTATAATAATTAGAAACTTATTTCATCACACCAATTTTCAGTTTATTTGAGGTTTTCCCCATAGAGTTTACACGTTTAGAAACGCACAAATATGCACTTTTTTAATATTTTATAATTCTTCCAAACTTATTGCTGTTATTCTATTATTCTTCATCGATAATAACATGAAGTATAAGCTTGGTTCTGGATAACTATTAATATTGTTCCCGGATTGTAAGCAGCTGAAGAGAAAATCGGAGATGAATTGATTCAATTTATCCCGCCATATCTTTTGTTCTTGCTTCAATTAAATTGTTCAGAGGTGGTTTACAAAGTGATTATTGTAAAAATGAAATCACGTGTAAACATCTCCTTTACTCTAAGTACCATTCTTCATTAAAGGATAAAATCTAAAACTTCATTGGTTCACTTCCCACTTTTTGGTAACTTTTCACTTTTACGTGAAAAAGATAAAAAAAGGTGACGAAACACCTCCATTTTGTGTTACAAATAACCATGTATATCAGTCTTTCACTCACGCTAAAGCTGATAAGTTAAAAGCATACATTTAAAGTTAAATATCCACATCAATAAAAGCATAATGTTCGCTGAGCATTTCGTTTTAAGCCCTGACGCTCATTTTATTCGCTTAACTAATCCAGCACGTTGCAACGGACTGCCGTGGGGTGTTTATATATAACATATGCAGATAGTCTTAGATGTTAGAAATTAAATGACCAGTGAAAACTATACTCTTATATGCAGCGCACATCCACTAGATAAACGGAAAAATGTTCAGAAATATTAAATATCACATTTCTAATTGAACATTGAAGAAAGGATGATAAATTTTACGTGTCTGACGGTCCTGTACAAGGCCTAATTTGTTTTTTAAAGTATCAGTGATTAATATGACTCTCTTCCTCAATAACTTTATTTTCACCGAATGTTTATAGCTATTTATCAATTAACCGTTTGATAATAATCAGTCACACTATGAACCGGTAATAATAACATTCTCAGTAGATAATAGTAACTAACAGCCATCTTACTTCTTAATTCTTACACTTTTTTTACCACAGTAATGCAAGATATTTCCGTCCAGCCAACAACAATTCCAATCTATTTACCTGCTTTCATTAAGATTTCGGAGTAAATATGAGACGCTATTTTCTTCTGATTATTTTTAAAATAAGTTAGTTTTTTCATATAGTCATCAATAGCTAATGCCATTCTTATTTCAGTCATGGACAAATTTATCAATGTTAGTTCAGTTCCTCACCTTCTTTAATGTTACTCTGTTTGTGATAACTGTTTTTCCAAAACTTAACTGAGTGAGGCAGTAATAGTTAATATAGAGTGTACCAAATGTCTTAAGACAAAAATTTAACTTTCGTAGGAATTTACTCTTAACTTCGATATTTTATTGATAACATCTCTAACCGTGACATTAAGTGATAGGAATGTGAATGTATCTCATGAGAATATTGATTTCTTTAAAATACCAGGTAAGTCTTGCAAATGAGTATTAACTAGCAAGAAATTTAGATCTAAGACCTCCCTTAATGATTGACTTTAATCCATTAACTTCCAAATTAGAACAATAATCTCGTCATCAAAAGTTTAAAACTAAAGAAGGAAATACTATAAATCGTGTGTTCTAAATGAGATAAAATGATAAGATCATACTTTATAAACATTGTGTACCAACTTTTCGTACTACATTACACAGGAAAATTGTTTTAACGTTTTCATAGCTCTTAAAAAGGAACCATTTCAACCATCTAAATACAAATAACTTTCTCAAAATTACCGTTAGATATTTGAATTAAAGTGTATCTTTCAAATGAATATACATCAAAATTATTTTAACACAATAATAGTATATTATTTTGGGAATGACTCTTATGATAAACGCATTTAAAAGTCTTTCTGTAAAAAAAAGTTGAAATCAGTGGACTGTATGAATCATCTATTGATAAGAGTATAGTGATGCAATTTAGAGCTCATTTATACTTTGTCTAAAACTTAAGTTCAATAAGTATTAAAATATTGTATAGACGTAAATAATTGACACATATCTACTGCTCATCCATCTATGTGTAAGACGTACACTTTTAAAGTTATCACAGCACTTAAGATTGACAGAACGGTTATTATCTATCACACGTCAATCAGCATTAGTCAGTGTACTATTAGAGGCTTAATGGTGCTATTGATCGGGTGTCTTATCATAATTCTGAGCATTAGTGAATGAATACTAATACTCAAAGTCAAATAAAATAGTATCCATCAATAAGTGTGAAGTTATCAACCTAGTACAGTTCAATCATATTCTATTACACTATGAATTGTTTTGCTCGTAGATTAACATCAGCTGGAGCAAGTATTTTAAAAATGATGGACTATCGTTTTCTTAACAAAATAATCTTCCATCTAGTGAAAGCTTCCGTTATCAGTGTATTTGGTTTAACCACAATGAAAAAATAGCTATTATTTCTTTTTATTCAATCATGTGATTGACTTTCTCAAAATATTAGATTACATACTCTGAAGGCTTGGATTTGACCGCCTTTTTGAAAAATTCAAATAGATCTTTGTCGAACATCAACATTAAGAATCTTTGGATATTTACAACGATTTATGAAATGCATAACCATAAATGTCTCTTTAGATCAAATTTAAATATTTAAAACTTTTAAGTTTTAAATTTGTATATGTGTAATAACTTTTGGAATATAAACTGTCATGTAATCGTCGTTATTAGCCTTTCATATATTTTTGTATAACAGAATCTAACTGCTAATTAGTAGTCATATTTATTTTATTTGTTTACTTTCGCGTAACTATGGTGACCGATCATTCTATGCCAACTAACAAAACAAATCTTAATTTCGATGAATGATTTTCCAATTTTTACAGTTCCTGTTACACATAATGAAAACTTATCACAACCAACTAACTGATGATAATTATTTTCATGAGATGATATTAATTCTGCAAAATTTTTACAATGCAGGCAATATATTATTCTATTTGGCAACAAAATGGTGGTATCATCACTATTATGGTAGCAATAGTGATAACCTGTGTCACTGTTACGAATTCTCAGGATGTAGAAGTTGTTTAAATTAATATAGACAAATGTTAATTATTCTTATTTGAGATATCGAGTTTAGTGAAAAGACAAACCTTCATGGTTTTTCTCCTTTATTCTGATAGCCTTTCTGGATTATGGATGACGATGTTTTCGAACTAGATCATATCAATCTATTAAATAAGCCTATTACTCAAATTTAAAGTCAACAAAAGTTATACTTCCTAATTGACGTCTTGATGTATAAACTGTTTAGTAGTGAATATTTTTACGATATCTGAATCTAATTTACTCCACTTTAGGAATTCGATGAAAGATTCTTTGCCACAGTAATTAGGATTAACGGGTTTTTATCTGAATGATTATCCTGTTATTTTTAGGTGGAAGCTCTAAAAATAAATAATGAGTTACCTTTATAAAAAACTTTGTATTCGGAATAAACTGTGCATGAAGTTCTGCGTTTCTTTTTCATTTCCGGTAAGTGGTAGGCAAACAATAGTTTAATACATGAGACTAGAAAATCTCATGCTTTAAACAACAGTAAATCGAAATTCAGTGGCTTCATTCGTTTACTTAAATTTCAAAGGGTTTTCACAATATAAGTATTATTAATAACACAGGGCAGCACTATATTCCTTTATTTATTTTTTTAATTATTTCATTCTCTATGGATTCAAGATTCTTCCGGCTTCTCAGGAATATAAAGCTTACTTGTCCGAAATTTCTGTTTGGTTAAATTCTAAAACAAGTATTACGGGTCAAGAATGGGTTGCGTATCTTGAAAAAATCCAAGTATGTTCTAACAACATCTTTTTTATTTTCACATTATGTATTACCTCTGTTGCTAGATACTGTGCCTTAATAATTTATGTTTAGAAAAACCTTATTTCATTGGCAAACAAAAGACATCTTTGAAAATGGAAAACGTTTATTTTCATTTGATTGCGTACATATATTGAATGACATAATAATACAATATGATGATAAATTTAAGTATAAATCTTTTAGTTCCATTAGTTATGGTGTCAGAGTGTTAATAACCTATAATTAGAAGCTTACAGTTTAATGATATTTATAAAAGTCCTACATCACAACAGGTTCATATCTAAAAAGGAACAACAATATGCAAATCAATAAATACAACGTATTCTTAATAGAAGCTATTTCACTAGAATAATAAATATGCAAGGAAAATTAGCTAGAACTTCAAAAAGGTTCATTTTATACAGAATTTTGGAACTTTTATTATATCAGAATACTTGTTTATTATTATTACAGTTTAAGTCTATAAATTATGTAGGCCAAATTAAAAAAAATCGATTCTCTAACATAAATGTTCTGTCCAAAATTGATTTTATACTAATTGACGTGATTATGTAAATATGAATATAATTCAGATCATTTTTATTGAATTCAAGCCAGACAAGATGATGTTAACTTAGGTGTTTAAATATAGTTAAAATCACGTAAACTTAACGAATTTTTCATTCTTGAACAATATGACGGTTTTTCTTCATATTTTATTCATAATTTATATTAAAATCTAGAATTTCTGATCTATCTTGATGAATATTGTTTTTCTAGGTAAACGACAAACTAGGTGATAAAACTATGCAATAACAAGGCGTTAGATCAAAACAGAATTATCTGACGAAGCATATTTATTTATATAATTTAGCAATTGAAATTGGTTGAAGTTACACATTAACACCGTTGGATGCCGGCTCAGTGGTCTATCGGTTAGGTGCTCTGGCGCGAGACCAGTGGGTCCTGGGTTCGAATCTCGCGAGTGCGGGATCGTGGATGCACACTGCTGAGGAGTCCCATAATAGGACGAAATAGCCGTCCAGTACTTCCAGGTTTTCCATGGTGGTTTAGCTTCAATTAACTCATGATTTCAACTATGAAAATTTAGAAATTGTTCAGTTTCGTACTATTTGTAATATATAATCAACTTATGTCTATTATTGGCTAGTCATCTGTTTAATGTGGTTAGTCTGTGCTTAGCAGTAAAAGGAATTATTATCTTATCGAGAATATCAAAGAAGATTTACTATATTTCTTTGTTATTATGAATTGTTCATTTCCTTTGCTTAAGATGTAACATGAACTTTATTTGTTTTATGCTTCTTAATTACGAAATCTATTCACTGTCCCTTTTTTTAAATCTCTTTCAGTTCCCTTTATATAAAGGACCATTTATAGCGTGTAATGGAAGTAAACCACATTTTAGAGGATATCCATGCGGTTTATGGACTTTATTTCATGCATTAACCGTAGAGCAATACCTGTTATTGTCCTCCAGTCCAGGTTAATATTTTATCTACTTTTTTTCTAAAGTCAATATTTATATTTACTATCATAAAAATTTATGCTTAAAAATAAGAATTTTTATCATCCTCACGTCAATTGTTTAAGAGCACGAAATTTTCACCTGGATAAATGTTACGATTTTATCCCCTTGTCTTACCTTCATGAATTTAGTGCATTCTATTTGTACATGTTAAGTTTACTCAACCAGATAGTAAGCTAATAATAATTTTTACATGTAATAATTTGATAAGTCTTTTAACTTTCGAAAAACTATTGTAATGCAACTCGCTTAGTAGATTCAACTGGTAGTCAAACATTCAGTATGAGAACTGGTTGTACATTCTCAGAACTGTCTAAGTTAAAGTAGATAAAATGTATTTCAAACTTTTATCTTTTTGCTTAAAAATCATTTTCTTCTAAATTAGGTCGTTTTCTTAAGCATATAAATTGATCTTCGGTTTTCAAGCTCGCTACATTAACTTAAATATAAAGAGTAGTTTAGGATTATAAGTTCTCACACAAAAGACATGACTTTTAACTTGACAAGGAAACTTGTACATTATTAATAAGTTTTGTTTATTTGAATTTTCTTCTGTTTACTTAGTATGCTCATTAGGTAGAAGCCATCAAAGTTAACTAGTAATAAGTATCTTCCATATTGTTTCAAACTAATTCAGATTATTTTTAGCTGAACGAAACTATTATTAAAAGTACTGTATCCAGGTATTTAGGAAGGTAATAATACACCGTGGTAAATCATCAGAAACTCTATAAATTTGGATAAAATAAGTGTTTTTAATAGGTTTGACGAAATATAAATATTTCTTATTCTATTTCCGTCTAAATAATTAATTCTTATCAAAATGTATATATTTAAATGTTCTGTATTTTTCGCTTTTAGATAATCAAGTTGATGCAGTCGCTCATGCTTTAGGTCGTTTCATCCCTCGATTCTTTTCATGTACATACTGTGCATTTCATTTTGCACTGAATACAGCAAACTTAGCAAGACCAGGGGAATCTATCTTACCGGAAAATCGTGTCACTCCTAATTCAAATGAATTTGTATTTGATGAATCAGTTATTCCTACTTTGCCTAAAGCTCCAGAGAATCCTAGAGATACTGTTTTATGGTTGAATGCAGTACATAATCGTGTAAATAAACGTTTAGCTGGTCAACCATCGGAAGATCCAACTGCACCTAAAGTTCAATTCCCACCGTCTTATCTATGTCCTACCTGTTGGTCTTATAGTTCAACAGGTGAATTGGAATTAGGTAAAACTTCAGAGACCGAAGAATCATTATTTCAATTTCTTGTTGAACGATATCGTGCATCATCTTGGAAGTATGTGGATTTACCTACAGTATTCATAACCAATGCTGTGTAAGTCTCATTGCGATTTTACTTATTGTGATAATTTAATTACTTACTTTCATTATAATGCAAGATTATTAGACTTATACCCATAAACAGACTGTTCAGTGATGATTATTATTATTGTTTGTTATCAGGAGGGATTTGGTGGAGATTTCAGTAATTTTGTAGTTGAATTCCTGGAAGTACTGGATGGCCGTTTTGTCCTATTGTGGGACTCCTCAGAAGTTCGCATCCATAGTTCCGCCTCGCGAGATTCGAACCCAGGACAAATCAGTCGTATTTGACTTAACTTTTAATGCCGTTCTCTAATATTTTGCAATGATTGACCATAAATTGTTCCTTAAGATTAAGTTGAATATTAAATTAAGTTTTCCCGTGTTAATTAAGAGTTAAATTTAAAATAACATCTTATAATAATTAATACAATGTTATTACCCGTTGAAATTGTTTAGTTTGGCGCTCATATTTGTAATTATCAAGATGAATCATAAAGTTTCAATCATTTGTATAAATGGTGAACTGTAATTTGATGACTGGTCAGTCTTGTTTTTCTAAAATGTAACATAATAACGTTAGTATTTTGGCAATGAATATCCCATTTTACTTTAAATCGAGTTTGTAATTTGTCCGGACTACTAATTTATTTTCATTCAGAGAGTTACATTTTATTTGAAACGTATGATAATTTTCTGAATATCTATATTTAATAGTCATTGAACTGTTTTATCAAGATTACTCATGCTGTTTTTCATTACATATTAAAGTATGTTAGCTTTTTTAGTATCGGTCACTTCTATCAAGACCCATCTACTTCGTTTGTTATTATCCGTTGTACGATATGTATAAAATTAATCAAGTGTTATTCTAATATATGCGAGTTTTATATTTTCCCGTTGAGCTTGAAAGTTAAGTCATGAATCACTAAATCAAACGAGATGCTAAGACAATGTTTTAAAATCTTTGAATGCAGTCTAGTATTAGATACGAATTCAACACTTTTCCGATAATTTACTTATAACTCTTTTTGTCTCTTGCCAGTTTTCCTGATTCTGTTTTCTTAAAGTCACATTTCTCCCGATTATTAACTAAACAAACACGGTATTATTACAAAATATTCTTCACTTCACTTTTTAAGTATCATATATTATCGTCTCTGCGCCCGAACACACGATGCCGAACCTCTGCATTACTAATATGGTGTTGCCACTGGATGTTAGTAATCCTTCGGAGACGTCGGCCTCAACTCGGAGAGGCCAAGTTTCACAAGCATAGAGCAAAACTGCTCTCACCAACGCATTGTAGATCCGACCTTTTACAGTCAGACTAACATCACGAATGCACCAAAGATGGCCTAGATTGGCATAAGCCGCTCTGGCTTTCACTATGCGTGCATCGATCTCATCACTCTCGCCACCACCAGCACTTATGCAGCTACCTAGATACACGAACTTCTCGACTCCTTTAATCTGCTCACCACTAGGGTGGGTACAGGATTAGAATCCTTCCAGTCTTGTAGAAGGACTTTGCCCTTCGAAGGTGCAAAGCACATACCGTACTTGCGGACACTGATTGCCAACTGATTAAGTGCGGATTGCATGCCTTGGGCATTATCGCACAGTAAGACAATATCATCTGCATACTCAAGGTCGAGAAGTCTTTCTCCAGGCAGCAGATCCACACCGCTATTACTTACATCCATAAGAGCCGCTTCCAGAATGTCATCGATGACAAAGTTGAAGAGGAATGGTGAGATTGGACAACTCTGACTAACCCCACTGCTTGAATGGAACAATGGAGAGTGGTGGTTGTATTGCCTCACTCTGTCTGAGGTGTTTGTATACAGGGCCTTGAAGATGTTGATAAACTTGTCAGGCACACTCTTCTTCAGTAGACAATTTCAGAGAACAGTCCTTTCGAAGGAATCGAAGATAGGCGTAACGTCAAGAAACACTACGATTGTTGGCCTGCGATAAGTATGACGGTGTTCTAACATTTGGCGGAGGGTGAAGATATGATCACTGCATCCTCGACAAGAACGAAAACCAGCCTGCTCTTCACTGGTCAATCTTTCCAAGGTTTTGAAAAATCTACAAAGTATGATGGAAGCCAATAGTTTGGACGCAATCGGAAGTAGACTCATCCCCCGATAGTTGTTACAGGAACGACGTAAATCTTTTTTAAAGATAGGGACAACTATCGAATCTCTAGCTCCCAGACCTTTGTAAACAACTCAATCAGTTCCTCAGCCAGAAAGTCACCATCATCTTTTAAAAGAGCCGGAGGCAAGTCGTTTGGGCCCGGTGATTTGTGGCGCTTTAAGGATTGATGTTCCTTACGGACTTCCACCTCATTTAGTGGAGCAGTCGTCACCGGCTATGGAGGGCACGACAGTCTGATCAATGTTGCCGGAGCAACAGGCCAGTTCTGCTCTTCAAATAATTCTGCCCATCGTTCAACACGTCGATTTATGTTAGTGGTCAGCATCCCGTCATCCCCACAAATTGTTTCACTTACATCAGACCTCTTGCTGTCACTGGCTCAAATGAGTTGGAAGAACTGGTAGTTACCAGATACAATGCTGCTTCCAGCTCATTAGCACGCTCTGACCACTAGGCTTCTCGATCCTTATGCAAGCTTTGCTAAATTTCATTCAGTAACGGTCTTCACTCCCTGCTCTCGGCCGTACCAGGGCATTTGGAGGCGTCTGTGTGTGTGCGATAAATAAAACCTTGTCAAGGCGATTATGCAGTTGGATATGCAAATTAATGCTCAAGTCGTCTGTCATATAAGTAAATTAATGTATTATTTAAGTAGTTATTTCATATCAGGATAGTTTAAGATAAAATCGGTCCTCGTGATATGATGATCAAAGCTGAAATAATACTTGTTTTGAAAAAATATACTTTATTAAATTTTAAACTAGTTTAAGACAGTCAGACATAGAGAATATTTAGGTACAATTCAGTTAGTGGTTTTTTTACTCCAAGCTGTTCATTTGTTAAAAAAATGATGAACTTTCGGATACATATCTAGTTGACTGCATTGATGTAGTATCTGCTATCAAAGTTTTTTGATATTCGTAAACCATTTCAGTAGTAATCTATTCCAGTCTAGATAATTCTTTCCATTATCTTATTTCAGTATTACACCTTCTTTTGGGATAAAATAATCATCGTCCAATGTAGATTATTGTGTTAAAGCAGCACTTATTTATTTCACTTGCATGATTTCTATTCTTGACATGTAATGAACATTTGTAATATTTTTTTGATAAGATAATAAATGAAATTGCACATGTAGTTGTTTTTTATGACTTCATGGTTATATAGTAGCACTTTATAACAAATTTTATTTTCCAGTTTGTAATTAGAGTTTATTTCAGTAGTTTGTGTTATCAGTCAGTTTACCCTTAGTTTTTTACTGATTAATGTGGAGAAGGTTTATAATTATTTCTGTTATGTTGTGTTTCCACATCTTCATTGTCCTAATAACACAATGAACACGTTTGTTCATTTATTTTTGCACATTACTTCATAGAATATTTTAACTTATTTTTTTCAAAATTTAGATGTTAGTAACTTTAGTTTGTAATTGTTTGTTGAGAAGTTCATTGTACGGACCATTTTTAATCACGAATTTAATTAAACGGAATTATTCTTGCATAATTATTGGTAAACAAAATTTTCATAGGTCAAGTTATTAGATAGGTGAATATGATTACTTTGAAGCTTTTGTCATAATGATGAGTAATTATGATTTATCACGTTTATGTTATAATCATCTTCTGTTATGATACTATGGATACTAGTTTATTATGAGTTAATTTTCAAACTCACTTGCTGTTTGAAAGTTTGGATTATCAGTGACTGCTTCATTTTATCCAATAAGGATTGATCGGCATGTAGTCGCGTTTTATGACATGAATGCAAGAGTACCTAGATCCACTAATTTAAACTATCATTTAAAAGCAATATGCAACATATTAATCCCTTTAATATTAGAAATATCCCATAATGATTAGTTTATCCAATGTCAAAGATTTTATTGTTCAAACATTTTCAGGTCATGTCATGTATAGGGATAAAAAACTAACAGTATATTTGTAATACTTCACTTAGTTTTTTACCACCTTAATATTCTCTAACTTTGGTTATTAATGGGTTTTTGTAGTTAATTCACCGGTTTCTAGGAAAATAATCATGTTAGATTTTGACAACCATGTTTATACGATACTATCAAATATTATTCAGTCTATATGTTAATTATATTTAAAATATCATATTTATTTGAAAAAAAAAAGATTTACATTAATATATTTGTTACTATGATTTTCCGAAATGACACTTGTTTGTTCACATTCATCTCAGATTTGATGAACATTGAAAGTCATCTGACTATTTCCAATAGTTATATTCATGTTTGTAACCTGGTCAATACTGGTTAGCATCATTTTTTTATATTACTTAATGATGAAATTTTATTCATTAATTCTACAGTGTGGCCTATATTTTAAGATTGAGGATAGATTTTATAAATGAGTGGTTACAAGAAGAATATCTAGGGATACGATTTTCTGTTATCTGATTCTGATCATCTGTATGTATTCACTTATATAACACTGTTTTAATTTGGCTGGATATGCATCAATCTCAGTGACTCGGATACATTCACTTTGCCTTAAAACACTAATACTTTGGACCCTATAAATTCAGTTTTTCTTCTCGAATCATGTTCTCTATGCAGAATCTTTTCTACAATTGTTGATACTATGATTATTTTGGCAACTTTGGCATTTATCCGAATAACTGAATCTTGTCGCTATGCTAATGTGATTCGAGGACATTGAACATATGTACATATGTGCAACGTCCTGCTTTGCTTTATGACTGACTGATACTTATATTATAGGCACATGATGGGTGTCCATTTTTAGCATAATATTATCCACGTTAATATAATTAATATTTTTTATGGTAAAAGTATGTATGTATAGTGTGTCCTATTACATCAGCAAGCTTCCTAAATTTCTGACCAGTTTTTCACATGCTCGATTTTACATAGTAATATATAGAGTGACAGGTTTCTATTCCTTTAGGAAAAGTGCAACATTTGACTTTTCTTATCAAAAGCAACAGTTTTGATAATGTAATACATAAAGTTTGTTTTGATACATAAATCATCAGGGTGTTATTTTATGCTTACAACAAATAATCTATAATAGTAATGACAATAATAATAATAGGGTCTGTTGGTATTTTTAGTTGATTATTGTTACGCACATTGGTTCATGATATCGAACAATCGTCTGACTGAACTCTTGAATCAGTTTCCTAAGCTATTCTGATAACTCCAGTTAAATCAACTTGAACGCGAGAGAAAGAGCGCAAAGTGTGAAAACATTGCTTTACTCGAGGGTTAGTTTATATACAGAAAATCGAGGGTGTTTACAGTATTTTAAATGGTTTTGATGTTTTGGAAGTTTTTGGAGCCATACTGAACATAGTAGCAGGATAGGTAATCATCCAGTCAGAAATGTGTAACGTGTTTCCTCACTTCCTAGACGTTACTGAGATCTTCCTATGCAACGCTGATTGGACAAAGTGTTTCCCAGCGTTTCCAGCGTCTTTTTTACGAAGAATACATTGGATCTCCCCAATACTTATCTTTTTCCACAAAATATGATTTCATCTTTTAGTCTACTTTCCATATCACATATGATTTCATCACCTTGCGTGCAATAGAATAGAATATTAATTCATGAATTTCTTGTAAAATACCGACTTGTAGAGTAGTCAACGCAAGGTGGGGGTTTCGAGAATAACTCAGTAATAGTTGTGGATGAGAGTATTAGAAAAATAATTTGGTAATACTTTTGTTCTGTTGTAGTAAACGAGATCTCAGGTGGGAGCGGAAACCACTTATATCTTTCAACATAAGTAGCCTACACCACACTATGGCTGACTTGTTATTTCTTTTTCTCTGTAAGTAAAAATTTATAAATATTGTTTTCTTTAGTGTTTAGATTGAGTTTTATGTTGCAACCTAGACTAACTTTTTGTCTTTCATTACCTTAATACATCTAACCTAATTTATGCGATCTATGTGTGGAAGTTCAGCGTAGTTTACTATTTAACACCATCAATCCTCTATCCATTTATGTCTCCTTTTTAAAATATTATAATCGAGGAGTGTTTTCTACACAAACTGAAATGCTGAAATCCATTAACTAAAATGAGCATCCTTTATTTTATGATATTCATTAAGTTAAATGTAACTTTCGTTGTATCTTTACTCTGTTTACTGAATATATACTTTTTTTATAAATAAGAATATCTATTAAGGTTAAATGTAAACATAATTTGTAAAGTTTAGCAAACTGACATATGACTTGTAGCATTCAAAAGTACATACCTGGTAGTCATGCACAGTGCTGTAAATCAATTACGACTGATTGTTCTATTTACTTTCATCATTTGGTAAACGTAGGTAAGACAATATTAATGACATTTTCTTAATAAATTATTTGAATTAAAAGTAAATGCGTAGAATAGACGTTATGTAGTGTGATATGATTTATGTATTTCTGTTTCATTTTATAGGAATTTCAAATTTTTGTTTTTGTAAATATGAAAGGGAAGTGTGATTTTATTTAAAGCAACACTTTCTTGATGATTTTTTCATTTGATGAAGCATGATGATGATGACAGTTGAATAAGCCAATTTATGTATGATCATTCCAGTTTTCGCTGTTTAACCGTTCACTAATCTTTTTCTTGTTATATTGTCATTATTCCAATCCTAATATCAACTGGAAGAAAATCTATTTTAAGTAATATATTAGTTACTTAAAAATACAGATCTTGTGGACTGAACATAAGAATAACTTTAATGTAGAAAAAATATAGGGATATTTTGAGCATTTTAAAAGTTTGTGATGAGTTCCGAGGTTTTCTTATACTTTTCTTTCTCCTTTTTAAACTTGATCAACCAGTGATGGGGTTGCTACTTTTATCTCTGTGGAATTTAGTATGATAATTAAATCTTATCGCTGTGCTAATTTTGTGTGACAACTTGAACCGACGTACATTTATCCAAAGTTCCACGTCACATATGACTGACTAACTGGTTCGCGACCGTTGCTGCTACCTTGGCGTGGTGGTCACGCTTGCCTATCATAGTGAATCAATCAAGCTATATCGGCTGGAACAATCGTCCGTCAAGGTTCTACCATGCCGGGCAGATCGGCTGAGAGCGGTAAGACTAAAAGCAGCAAACCCAAGTTCCGAAGGCGAAGTCGTACTGCTGACCGTACAAAGGTTTGATGGTAGCAAGGTGTTTTCTTCAGACAACCAGCATAACAGCTATGCTGCCTTCCCACAAGGAGGGGTGGGGTTAGAAAAGGTCGGACATAAAAACGCACATCTCGCCTTATCCCACGGATATCCGTCCCCGGTGGTAAGGTCTCATCAAGTACAGAGCTAACACAAAAAGGTCGTATGTGAACGACCTCGAGCAGTTGTCCCTTGGGCACTGCGGTCACGCTCTCAGTTCACGAAGACCACTTCTTATCCGATTTCCTTTTCAGGTACCTCTGGAAGAATCCTTCCACGGTGTGGGCAACCGGGAAGTGATAACCGCCCTCATACCTCTAACAGCACTCAAGATCACTGTATTCATGATCAATCTCCCTCTTCACTTTCTACTATTCCTTCTACCTCAACTTTCAACACTAAACTTCCTCTTTCGGTTTCCTTCTCAAGTGTCACCATGGCCAACGAAACACTGTTTCAGGTCTACTAAAACCTCGCTCCAAACTTAACATTGGAGCCTTCAACGTACGTACCCTATGCCAAATCGGTCAACAGGCCTCCTTAGCTAAAACCCTAGAATCTCGTGACATTGATGTATGCTGTCTCCGTTACACGCATACAGGATCCCAGTGTGGTTATTCACTTCACCTCACCTTGCCAGAATAAACAGCCAACGAAATACAACCTCCGTGTATCTGGCGTCCCCATGACTAGTTCTCGTGGACTTGCAGGTGTAGGTATAGCACTAAGTACAATGGCAGAACAAGCACTAGTAGAATGGATTCCCGTTAACAGTCGCCTATGTGCTGACCGGCTAAATGGCTCCGTAAGAACTCGGAAGGATAGGGACACACGTCGTTGCTTTTTCGTCGTTTCTGCCTACGCTCCCACTGACTGCAACCATGATGAAGTGAAAGATGACTTTTATAGAAAGCTCTCTAAACTTCAAGAAGCTAAGCGCTCGGACACAGTACTCGTAGCGGGTGACTTTAATGCCCAATTAGGTAGCTTAAACCGAACAAAAAACATTTGGGTGGGTATTTTAGTATTCCGGTTCAGCGAACAGATGATGGTGGTTGTCTGTTGCAAATATCGCTCGCATCTTCTGGTATCATCGGTTAGGTTAGACACAGGGTATTAGGGAATGATTGTAAACCAGTTGATGAGGTTGTGAATCTATATCGACTAAGATGTTTGGACCACGTGTTACGTATGCCTGAACACCGATTATCACGATGCGCTATGCTGACTAGTATTGGCGATGGTCGAAATAGAGTTAGGGGCGGCCAAACCAAAACGTGGCATTGGTCCTTGAAGTCACTAAATTCTATTCTTAGCCATGTTGGTAGGTGCGGACTACTTGGTTGAGGTCCGCGTGATCATCGTAACCAATGTTTGGAGACTCTGTGTGACATGTCTCAGAATCGATCACAATGGTGTAGGTGTATATACTTTCTGTCTTCCCTAAAAGATATGAGATCAAAATTGCTTCATATCTGTCTTCCCTCCTATACTATATCCTTATATACAACCTTTCCTTTATATATTACTACCATTGAAGTAACTACTTCTATGAATTCGGTGTTCATCTTGTTGTGCTAACGAGATATGGCAAATTGGATCGATGCAAATGCCTGCCTGGTTCTACGTTGTAGATAACCGACCGTAAAATTTTGTATTCGTTATGTTCGGTACAATAGTTTCTCATAATTATTGCCAATATGTATTCGAAGGAGTGGAAATAATAAATATTTTTTTAAAAGAAGACATAAATATAATATTATGATTAGATACTGTACGTTTTTGAAATAATATTTGCATTTAACCGGATCAATAAATAAGTGTGATGCTCCATACTGACTGAGACAGTGGAAAATGAATTCATTAGTCTCTAATTTATTTGTAGTGAGTAAAATAGTTAATTGCATAGATCAATATGCTTATTTTTAGAGTTTGAATTATTTCGGTTTGTTAGTGATACCACGATCTAGTAAAGTACCTTAAAACAACAGGAAGCTATAAATTCGACATTTTTTCAGGGGTCTTTTTTGGTCTATAAATAACATTAAAGATAGCCAAAATATCTTGTACAGCCTCAGAGGCGGAGGTATTTTAATCTGACGGTCATTGGTCGCCAATTATATCAGTTTATAAGGAAGAACAGAAATTCTCTTATGATAAGTACTTTGGA